CACTGCACCACTATGCCACCCTCAACACACAACTGATTTCATAAACATCTTTTCATTTTTGAGTTATTGAATTACTGTGGCGATAACATTTCTGCAGTTTCCTCATTTAAAATAGATTTCAAATAATACAATATTAGGTCTTTCAATGGACAGAAACCATAAACAATTCAAGTGCCTAATATCTCCCCTCCACAGTGTGCCCTTGTAATTCCTTCCAAACTTTGAAAAAAAACATTTTGAAGCACCGGTCGGAAACGTTTTTTAACAAGTGTTCTGTTATGTCCACATGTTCTGTTCGCTGAACTTTGGAAATAGGTACTTGAATCAACTTTATTGATCCCCTTTAAAATTGTAAATTCCTTGGTTAGGCCTCCTCTCAGATTTTACTGTGCTTTTTGCAAGGCATACAGTACAACAACGAACAATTAAAATGAGTAGCTTGTGTTTTTCCTGTCTCACACTGTTTTATCCTCATATCCACATTAAAAATCACCCTCCGGAGTGAACAGATGTTAGACTGTAAACTGCAGAGCATTTCTTTATTTTTCTAACTAAACCTTCAACCGAAGGGCAGGCAGGAGAGGTGACACCAGACTTTCCTCTGCACTCTGTCTTACCTTGGCTCTGAAGACGTAAAAGAGAATGCCTGCTACAATCTCCAGGGTCAGTATCAGGATGAGAATGCCTGTGAACTACAGAGGTAAGAGGATGAGCCCACACAATGATGACATTTATTTAGGCTGGGAAACAATTCATTCAAATTGAAGCGGCATGTAAATCTCAGAGAATTAAGTATCTGTATGCATGCTGTAAAGAACATCATTTTCACCTATTATGAAAGACATGATGAATGTTGTCAAAAGGTATTTTAATTTCTGGTTGCAGCAGACAACACTGACATTAGAAGAACACATCCATCATATATAGTTTGATATTGACCTGCAGTTCATGTACTTTTATGTTGGGTGGTAAAGATAAATTAGCTTTGGTGTGTTTGAATCAATTTTACCATCATTCTGTAAAACTTCTGTATCTTTACTGTCACATTTATAAGCAGAAATGATTTGTCAAATGTCTCTCCATCTCCTGTGATAACCTGACCTTTGCTTGAACACACATTTGAAGTTAAAATCACATTAGGCACTCCGTGTGGGTTTGCTTTCCTCGTGCCTTCGTATATTTTGTACAAGAGCTTGCGACTTATTATAGGTGAGCTAGACCCAAGTCCTGTGCAAGAGCTTGGGGTTTACCTCTTTAACTCCAAATAAGTGAAATCTGAAATCTCTGCCACATGCGGGACTTTCATAAGGCAGTCAGTCAGAAAGGCCGGTGCTCCAGTCCTCCAGTCCTCCAGACCCCCAGTCCACTACTCACCAGCCCCAGCAGGATGCTGTTGTCCAACCATGCGCCCAGGCAGCCCAGGAAGGCGGTGATGGAGATGGCCACGCCCACCACGATGAGGAGCACAGCAATGTGAGAGAGCCCGCCCCCCGTGAAGGACTCAAACTCATTGTAGGAGGTGCGAGAAATTTCCCCCACTATGATCAGGGCGATGCCCGACACCTGGAGCAAACAACAGGAACCTCCATAAGCCATAGAGAGCACACGGTGGGATTCCCAAACACATGGCAAATA